ATCCACAACGGAAACCCCAGCGAGGCGTTTGGAGTAAACACAGGAGTCAGACAAGGGTGCTTATTATCACCAATGATATTCCTAATTGTGGTGGACTGGATTATGCGTCAGACAGTGGGAAACGAGAAGACAGGATATCCTGGACCGACGTGAAGAACCTAGAAGACCTGGATTTCGCGCGTGGATGATTTATGTTTGATGTCACACACAATCGAAGACTTACAAGCGAAAACCGACAAACTGGTCGAAGAAGCTGGTAGTGAAGACAGGACTCCAGGTAAATATAGACAAGACGGAGGTTATGAAAATAACCAACCAACACCAACACCAACAGCAGCAACATTAGCACCAATCACCATCAACGGGAGGGATTTGAAAGAGGTTACTTCATTCACTTATCTATGGAGCATAGTCTCAACTACAGGAGAAGGAACGGACGGGGATGTCAAATCGAAAATCGGGAAGGCGAGAAACACACACATTCATCAATCTGAAACCGATCTGGAAATATTTGTCACTCAGCATCAACAACAAAATTCGGTCGGTTCTTCAATACAAACGTCAAGTCAGTCAGTTCTTCTATACGGATCAGAAACTTGGCAAGCGGGTCACAAAGAATATTTCCAACAGCCTGTTGCAGACCTTCATCAACCAACAACTGTCAACTATCGCTCTATACTGAAGATCAGATCGTGGAGTCGGAAAGAATCACCAACGAGAAACTATTGGAGCAAAGAAAACAAGAACCAATCGCCAACCAACAATTATGCAGGAGATAGTGGAGATGGATTGGACACTCACTGAGGAGACCACTGGGTGACATCGCGCGCGTCAGGTCATTGCTCGAGTGGAACCAGGCCAAAAGGGAAGCGGCGAGTGGGACATAAGTGCAAGGATGACATGGAGGAGATCATGCGAAGAGGAATTGAAACAGTATGGACTAACATTGATGCATGTGAAAAGTAGAGCAGAAGACAGAATCTAGTGGAGATGTGAAGTTGAAGCCCTATGTTCCACTAGGAACCCAAGGGAGCAATAATAATATAATAATATATTCTTTATTCGATTATTTTGTTCTATAGATGTCTGAATAAATATTTTTGCTATATTGAAGATCAGATAGACAACCTGAAAGGATTTTTCATTATTATTGTTTCCTTGGGTTCCTATTGGAACATAAGGGTTCAATTCCACGTCTCCACTCGCTTCTGTCTTGCTTCTGCTTTACTTTTCACCTGCATCCATGTTAGTCCATACTGTTTCAACTCCTCTTCACACGATCTCCTCCATGTCACCCTTGCACCGACGTCTCACACGCCGCTTCCCTTTTGGCCTGGTTCCACTCGAGCAATGACCTGACGCGCGCGATGTCACCCAGTGGTCTCCTCAGTGAGTGTCCAATCCATCTCCACTATCTCCTGCATAATTGTTGGTTGGCGATTGGTTCTTGTTTTCTTTGCTCCAATAGTTTCTCGTTGGTGATTCTTTCCGACTCCACGATCTGATCTTCAGTATAGAGCGATAGTTGACAGTTGTTGGTTGATGAAGGTCTGCAACAGGCTGTTGGAAATATTCTTTGTGACCCGCTTGCCAAGTTTCTGATCCGTATAGAAGAACTGACTTGACACACGCTTAAAGGACTGCTGATTCATGCCACTCGCCATGCATTTTAGTAGAGATGATAAGATGCGTATCCAAGTGAGTCGTATAAGAGGTGGTGTAAGGGGATAATTAAGGCTTATGGTTAGTTGTATGGTCAGCTTAAGCTGGCTGCAGAGATAACAGTCAGATACTGAGGTTCTGTTGAAGCTTCCTGTTTCACTCCGATTCCAAAGGAATAATAAATAAATAAATAATTAAATTTGCTTTTCGGCTAGTTTCACATGAAGGCTGAGTAATTATTTTATATCATGTATAGACCAGTTCAAGTGTACATATATCTGTGTATACTTACCGACAACTCAAGCAGGTAATTTTAAGGAAGAATAACATTCACGTTTAAATTGGGAAATGAATAAGGAGAATTAGCTATATCAGATTGTAAAATAAAACAAACAGAAGAAGGTAAACTGTACACTAGCGTTTATAAAAGAAGCCAACACATTCTGCTAATAGATAATTAGACTTTAGTTCATCTCATCTGTTTTCTGTTTGTTAAAGCAGGCTTAGTTAAGTGTCCAACAAACTGAGGAATAGCATTAAGTAGTACTACTAAAAACCTAAACGATGAAATGAAAAAGATGGAAGAGGTGTTGGTGTTAAATAACTATCCTATAAAATTCAGTAGGAATATAAAAAAGGTCGAAAGCAAAGTAAAAATACCATATTAGTTTGTTTATCAGATATATCACACAGTGAAACAGTAATATTTACTGGATGAGGTTTCGAACAAAATTTATTGTTCATATCATATCAATTGTAATCATACGACTTCGAAACTTGAGTTTTATAGTTTTCTTTGTCCTCTCCTATGTGTCGTCGTAGGGGAAATAGAATTTTCCAGATATCTGGGACAGGTGTTGAATCATTCCTATTACACATATTCTCAGTTGATTCGATAAACAAAGCTTCTGTTATCAATCTCTCCCTCCCTTCACCCTGTGACATTAGATTTTAAAACTATCATCTTATCCCATCCTATTGTATGGTCGTATAAAATTGTATGCGATGAGTGTTATAGCTGAACTATTCTCTAGTTTTCTTATCTTATTTGAGTCAACCAATCTAGATTTTGCAAGGTTTTTATGTTCAGCTAGTCTGACTGACTGCCCCTGTTCAACTACTTTGAATTATGTGTTCGACGTGAAAATCATTCCAGCAGGGTATTAGATAAACTAAACTGTTTTGTTTTAAAGGCCCTACATGATCCTTTAACCGACAAAGCTTGTTCCTAATTGGGTTTTGTGGATGTGAATGTCAGCCACTTTTATTCCTACTTTGTTAGGAATTCTGCGTAAGGTGGTTTCCGAAGTTCCTTGCTTGTATAGAATTACTAATGATGATTTAGATTCCTTATTGTTGGTGTTGTCATTACTCTGGGCATGTTTTACATGCATGTCGTCATTATTATCATTATCACTATCGATACTGTCATTATTTATTTTATTTTTACATTTCTCTACATACTTTCTGACTAATTTTTCAGGATAATTATTAAGTTTAAAGGCTTCTCTCATATAGCTCACTTCCTGTCTTAGATTTTCCTTCGTACTACTTAGTTTTTGCGCTCTGTCACCTAAACATTTCACCAGTCTTATTTTCATTGACATAGGATGGGATGATCGGAAGTCTAAATCTCTATTTGAATGTGCGGGTTTCCTGTAAAAACTAGTGTTTAACTCTCCATCTTCTTTCCCTTTTTACGCTACAGTCTAACATTGGAAGTTCCCTTCCTGACTTTTTTGTATCTTGTGTATCTTGCCTTTCTCAATAGGACTGACTCGCTTTGACTTCTCCATTCGTGCTGTCTGACTACTTGTGGTTGACACCGTTGGTCCTGGATAAGTGAAGGCAGGAAGTAACCTTTGTCAAATATCTCCCGTTCATGGGCATTGGTGCTGTTCGTTGTTTGTGCTGTTGGTTGGTGGTTGGTGGTTATCTTCACCATCTCTCTCTTCCCTATGTTCACCTGGAGTGCTGTCTTCGCTACCTGCCTCGCCTCTTCAGCCAGTGTGTTAGTTTACGCTTGAAGATCTTCGAGTTTGTGTGACATTAAACATAAATCATCCACACGAGAAATCCAGATCTTTTAGAGTATTCTTATCGGTCACTTCAACGTGTTCTCATCTCTTCGCTCCCTGTGCACAGTCTGACGCATAATCTTTGGTGCTAAAGGCAACCAGCATATCTTACTCTTGTTTTCACTTTGAACGCCTCTCTGAATTTCCCGTTGTGGATCACCTGACACGTGGCATTTTCATATAGCCATCTATTGAATGAGATTGATTTATGCAATTTACGAATTATTTTACAAAGTACATAGGCAAATCTTATTTGTCACAATTCATATTATTATTATTACTATCATTATTGAAAAAATCATGCTTATGCGATTGTACAGATTGATAACAGATTGATGAACATCAAACAAAGGATTCGATGGTATCAAGTTTGAGTACGGATTAATATCAATTAGACAACCATTAAAAACCACCAGGAAGTACTGGGCATCTGTTTTGGCATCTGTTACAAACCCACTGGTTTTCAAACCCAGGACCTTCCGGTTAAAAAGCAAGTTCATAGACTAATCCATGTTTAAACCTGAAACAAAATGAAATCTATACAAACAAATTGAAGAAAATTAATCTGTAGCTAACTGGTGACTGGCTGTAGGACGAAGCTGCCTGAAGTTCTCAGTGAGAATTTGGGACCACTGGGCTCCATCCATTCAGTCAAGAGTGAGACCTAAAACTCGCCGATGACGGCAATCGCTTTAAAATCATTGATTGCTAGTGGTTAGAACTCATGCACCATCAAGTAAGACCCTAGTGATTGAATGGTCTACGAGTTCGCCTTGTAATCAGGAGGTCCTTGGTTCGAACTCTGGCGGTAAAAGTGAGTACTGGAGAAGGATCTGAATATAGGATCACACCAGTTAACCAGTACTCCCTATTGATTTTCAACAGTTCTCCAACTGATATCCAATCATGATCAAAACTCGAAACGAAATCAAATCGTCACAAACAAACTTTACCAAGATATGAGTGTAGATGGACAGATTAATCTAGGCAATCAAATGAAAGCACTACTGATTAACTAGAATACGAGATAGTAACACACCCATACAGAGACACACATATACATACACCAATACACACACACCAAATGTTGGTACTTCTTGTAAGTTTTCCTGTTTTGCCACATTTGAAAAGCAAACTTTTTTTAACATTGATAAATAAAACACGCAGAAGTAGACAGACAAAGGGAGGGAGAGGGATTTAAAAATATATAAAAGATGGAAAGGATGGGGGAAGAGGAAACCTTCTGAGTCATTTCAACTTTTAGAACTGAATAAATATACATTGAAAACTTAAATTTCTAATAAATTCAGAACACAATTTTGAGAAAAATTCACATGTTAATTTATTTTACATAATGTCAGGAATAAACACATTGACTGACAGTAATGATATGAATTATGGTAATAATAGTGCTGCTGCTGAGGATGATATTTCAAGGTGAGTTAGTGTGAGGTCATTTCAGTTTTTGAACTTTGATTTGTTATTTGAAAACCTTCATTTGCAAGAGCTGAGTTTTTAAAGACACCGATTTAAACTCAATGATCTGATCTCAATTTCAACTAGCCCTATAACTATGCCCAAGCATCTGTCTCCTCTTCATATGATCTCATCTACATTATAGTCGGACTCACGGCTGACGCATTGATATCCCATATGTGTGTTCTACTCGACGACTTGCATTGAGTCTGATTTCACTTGGTTAAGTCAATAGGTGACATCATTTGGGGAACCGATGGAATATCAGAGAATACTTGATAACCATTTCATCCTAGTTTCGGACTGTTCGTGAATTGGCAGAAGCTGAAATTCATTGGCTATTGGGTCGGCTTTCAGTCACTGAATGGTCTATGAACTCAACTTATGACCAGGAGGTCATGGGCACGAACACCGATGGATGGGCGATTTCTCCTAGTCCCAAACTAGGATGGAACAGCTGTCCAATGCTGTTTGGTTTTCCAATGGTTTTCCAACTGATGACAGTTCGTGATCAAACTTTGAACCAATGATATGTCTGGAAACCAACAGTTGATGATTTCCCCGCAGTGTATATTCTCAAGCTACCGCCTTTTCCTTCCACACTATTGTTTGCTGGTTCGCTGCTTGTCACAGTTTCTTGTTGCTTGTGTGCACTTTCTGGTCAGCCGGCGATGTAATCTTCAGTGTTGAGTCAGTAGAAGAGGTGGACGTTGATGGAAGTCTTCAATATGATGTTGGAAGGGTTTTAAAGGTTTAAATACCAACTCTCTAAACGTTTCCATTCGGACAAATGGCTTCAAGATAGAGCCTTGAAGTCTAGGTAACAGTGGTGTTAACTTCTACGCAATGGAGTTTCTAGCCTCATGCCCAACCTTCCTTCTCAACCAGTTTTAATACTGACTTAGCGAGGTTTAGCAGTGCGTTGGCTGAGAATCAAATGCCAAAACACATGAGGCGTGGTTGGCGAGCGTTCTATCTAGACCATGTAGAAGCACCTATCTGACATTGTGCTAGTATTAGACAGAATTTGGATCTTGTTCCCTAGTGGTGAATATTAACGAATGGTCAGGTGTGACTTATTGATATTAGAATAGAACTCGACAACTTCGATGGAGTATAGTTCCATTATGGAGTAAATTTGTTTGATAAGAGCATACAGTGATACAATATTATTTACTGACAGCAACGTAACAGTACAGTTTATGCTTATAATCATTTCGAGGCGCTCACATAACTTTCTAACTTCGTTTATATAATTCGATTATTTGTTGTCCCTTGATTTCATTTGTAGTGGTACTTTCGATATCATCATCACTTCGTTGAACCATCGCTATTGCATGTAGTGAGTGTAGATTCGATGAGCAGAGATCGGATAGTCAACCTCTTTTTCTTGATCGACAAACTCATTCAGGGATTAGTTATGTAGGCTATTGGATGATACTGATTCATTGAGACAAAATAATGTAGTTTACGAAATACCTTGAAGTGACTGTGAGTGAGGTCAACTGCATAGGTCAAACCAGTTGATCAAAGCGGTTAGAATGTCACACACACAAACTTGAAGATCTACAAGCGAAACCTAACACACTTGCTGAAGAGGCGAGGCAGGCAGCGAGGACAGCACTCCGGGTGAAGATAGGGAATACAGAGATGGTGAAGAAAACCACCAACCACCAACCAACAGCACGAACAAGAAACTGCACCAATCACCATGAACGGGAGATGTTTGACACAGGTTACTCCCTGTCTTCACTTATCTAGGACCGACGGTTTCAGCCACAGGCAGTCGGACAGCACGAATGGATTTGTCAAAGCCGGTGAGTCAGATTCGGAAAGGCAAGATACACATTCATCAGCTTGACACCAGTTATGAAATCCTCTGAATCACTCACTCAGTCAGCCACCCAGCCAGGATAAACAACAATATTCGCATGCTGTTAGACACAAACGTGAAGTCAGTCAGTCAGTTGTTCTATTTCTCTACGGGTCAGAAACTTGCGTTACCTGTGTGTGTGTCGCGAAAAGCATTTCTAACAAGTTAAAGACATTTATCAACAGTTGTTACCCTTTCTGGCCACATACTGAAGATCAAATGGCCTGTCAGCCGGCGAGAAGGAATTAGCAACAGGAAACTCACGCTTGGAACAAGCCAACAGGCAAGAGCCGATTTCTCAACAAGCATGTTGGAGAAAATGGAAATGGGTTGATTGAGAATACATCATTGGGCGGGGGCGTCGAATGTCCTTGAACGTAATACAGGCAATTCTTCGAGTGGAATGTGAATGGGACTCGATGAGTAGATGGTCAGTGTAAGTGTGACATTGAGGATGTTGTGTGAGTTGGAGGGGGAGGCGAGAGATTGTGAGAAATCGTGGAGCTAGCCAATTGAAGACGTTTCCTTTGATAAAAATGCGAGAAATGCCTACAGATCCAGTTGAAATTGTTAACTGGTTCGTATCTGGGGTGGGTGGGCGGAAATACTGAAACTGGTTGACTAGAAATTGCTCAGTCAAATTTAGGTATAATTTTGTTCCTTTTCAATGCATTTGTTATGTCATTGTGTTTTGGTTTTCATGTTGACAATTATTCAGTTCAATTGCCATCTAGTAGCTTCCTTTAATAGGAAATTAACAATGGTACTGCTCACTTTCAAGCGGCATGAGTTAGTGAGTCTGCATTTACAGAACACTTCACTATTATTATTATTAGTTATTACGAGCTCCTTAGGATCTGTGTAGAATATACGGCTTCAGCAGAACACCGACACTGGGTGGTGCGGATTCGAACCTTGGAAAGGCCATCAGTTCTTACGACGCTCCAGATAAGCCTTAGTAACAAGTGCCGACAATCACAAAATCCTAGATTTCTGGAATCCTCTGAGATAACTTTCCAACACCTAACATCACTCTCGATGTAGTTTTTTATATATTCATCATACATGTCTGTCAATAAAACTCCATAGTTCACTAACAAAGCGTCGTGTCACATAGGAAGCATTCTATCCTTATTATAATTTTACAAATATGTTATCTATTCATTTAAGATAAAAAGCGCTGTCCTTTCTCCTTTTCTTTTTTCTTTCTTCTTACATGACTTGCCTCACTGTGATGAAATAAACTTTGTGAAGTATGCTGGTGATTTGACGGTTTCAATGTCTGCTAACTCCCAGCTAGATTGTACCAAAATAAATAGCTTTTTATCGGAAGTCAGCAAATGGTCTGAGTCTAACGGTCTTAAACTGGATCCTTCTAAATGTCAAACTGTTGATTTCAGCTTAAGATGTAAACGAGAAGTCATCGATTCTCATGACAGTTGTAAAATTGACCACAATGATATAGGAATCAAATCAGAAATTAAGTATCTTGGACTTATTCTCTCTTCTGATCTCTCCTGGTCTTCCCATGTCTTAGCGATCTCCAGTAAAATATTCCGCCTGACATTTTACATTAAGAAGTTAAGACACTCGGGTATAACTCAACCCCTCCTCTTACAGTACATAAACTCTTGCATCCTACCTATTCTTCTCTATTGTTCACCACTGCTTATTATTTCCTGGTTTGCTTAAAAAGGACTATGTCACAATTCGTAGAATGCTGAAGACTGTCAGTAGGGTGAGTGGTGACCCAGTGGACCATATAGTTAACATTGTTGTCGATAGGCACTTGACTTCGTGCAATAAATTTGCTAGAGGGATTTTGTCTGACTTGCAGCATCCGCTTTACCCTCAGCTTTCACCTTGCATCTCCTCAAGTAGAACACGAAGTAACTTCAGAAAACTGTATGCTCGCACGTCTAAGTATAAGAATTCTATGATACCATACTTGGCACGTATTTTATGTGATGAAAATAGTGTCAGGCAAGAACTAACTAACCTTTCTCCCTCATCTAGTAAATAAACAATTTCCTCCATCCATCCATCTTTACAAAACTTGAAGTTTTACCTTTATTATTTCTATTATATTTATGGTCCTGTTACTTCTCTGTTTTACTCTCATAACTGCAAACACCAACATATCTCTATGACTGCTGTAATCTTTATTTTTCCCCTCACCATATCATATAAAGAGAACATTATATTCAATACTTTTAAACATGCTAGGATTTCTATACCGCATTGACAATACTGTGTGTAACAAGTCCACGGCAATTTTCACTTGTATTCTTATTATTATTACTCTAGCTGTTATTATTATTATTGTTATTTCCATTTTATATGCTGCATGTTTTTGACACTACCTCTATTGTAAATGTGGAAAATTTTCTGTGTGATTAATTTTATTTATAATTTGAGGAAATTAGATGCGAGGTGTTGTGATTAATGCTGAAAATTCCATTCTGTATCACAAGTACTGTTTTTGGAATAAAGTAAATCGTTATTATTATTAAGATTTCAATTGAGTTTTTACATGGGAATTATTCATAGTCTGAAATGTTAGGATAAGAAGTGTCCAGTGATAGTTTCTTTCTGCTGAAGTAAAGTGAAAAAAAGTTCGTTACTTGATAAAAATTTCCCCATTTGTATTGGCGGATTTAAACCCAAAGTTGACAACACGGATGGGTAGCCTTATCAACGCGAATTCATTCAATAAATACATGAATCACGATTTCTAAGAGAATGGCTTACGCTGAAGAAGTTCATACTAGCCTGTTTTTCGCGTTTGTCTCCAGTCAATTCATATAAATATGTATATATCCGGCTTATATTCAAACTTCAGTTACATGCATTGAGAGGTTAGAGAATAATTAAATACCTGGTAGCATTGGACCGCTGTTTGATCCCTATCTAGGACTCTTCGGAATTACAGGTTTATGACCCACCCCTACAGGGAGAGTGCCAACCCAGGACCTTCACATCAAGAAACAAGCTAAGTGGTTCTGTAACTCAAATTACTTCATAGTCAACTTAGAAACCAATCGAATTCCGGCAAACCAATACTTGAAAATTAGTCTAACACTCCCCA